AGCGACATGCAATTGCATAACAATCGTAGCAAGCTGCTACATAGTAGCAATGTAGTTGAGCAATAATCGAGGTATAAGGCATTGTCAATCGTGATAAGAGGCAGCCGCGCCTGTTTACACGAGTCACATCGTATAAAAATTCAAAGAATGTTTTAGAACACGTGTTCGATAGTATGTAAATAGCGTGAGATAATTGTTACATTATTTTCGCATAAATAAATTAATCTTTATCTACTCTCTACTCACGTTATCAAAATCAAGATGCATAATGTAATAAGATCTCCGTGTCAAAATGCCGGTGCAAAAGTTGCATCACAAAAAGATTTCAAAATTATGTTTACAGATAACGTGTAGATGTCACGTCATTATCATTTCATTTGTATATATAAAATAATCTTTAGGAATTTTTAATTTGAAAGATGACAAAATTTTGACTACATAATAACGTTATAATTTCTACGAAAATGTAGATTTAATAGTTATAATTTTAAAATAAATACATGAAAATATAATGCGAATCTTTAAAGATACGTGAGTATCTATTTTATTACCCAATTCCCCGTTTTGTCCATCATTCTAATTTAATCGACAGCGCGTAAAATATTTCTCATGCGAATGTCATGCGCACGATTTTGCATTAATTTCATGCTTGCGAAGCTATGAAATAATTTTGGCTCGACACGGTCTAACGAGATCTCAAGAATCTCTGACGCGTGAAATGTACCTATTAACAAACTGCACACTCTCTTCTATGCAATTATTATATAATTACTTACTACAGTAAACTTAATTTAATTAACTTGGAGAAAAGGCAATATATTACCAAAAAATACAGAAATCGATTAGCAAATTAAATTTTAATATTTTTTTTCCATATAAATTTTATAATTTTATAAAAAGATAAAACTAAATTCACAATAAATACACGTAATAATCAAAATTGATTAATAAGTTATATCTGACATACTTGCGGAATAGGTAAATAAGGTCAGATGCCGCGTCAATATTTTCATTTTCATTATAATCACGCGCATATTGAATGAACCAAATGCTTCTTATTTACTGCTGTCGGTCTCCCGCTGTTTTTATGAAAGACCAACGGCGTGGTTTCTGGATAAGAAAAGAATGGCACGTGCCAACGCGGCGACATGGCGCGCTTCGGGTGGCCACTCGAACACGTGCACTCGAACTCCAGAATTTATTCTGGAGTAACCTTTCTGCGTGTATGCACAGCTTATTATAGACCTGACGTAAGTAATACGTATGATATCACAATATCATACATACCATATATATGAATCACAAAACTATAAATACAATTATAAATACTTGTATTCCGTAACAAAAATATTATTAAGTAATATGTATTATTTTAGCTCTCTGTTTATCTTCATTTTGATAATAAATAATTAAATTTTTCGAATTAATTTATAATTTATTGTAATAATTTATTCTCTGTGTGTATGTGACACTGGTTTAATTTCCACGTGGAAATTCGAGATATTATTATAATGATCCGATTTACTCGTTTACTTGTTTCTAAATTTTCTACGTCGATGATTTTTATATTAATATTCTATAAGAATAAATAAAAGAAAAAGGAATAAATAAACGAATTCTGATAGCTATCACGAAATTGAAGGAATGTTGATTCCTTGCATATTACTACGTCGACTAAATAGTGCGATACGAAAAAATTCGTCACGTCGACATGGTGAACTGCCTTCGGTGGCAAATAAAGCGCGAAATTCCAGAATCGAATGATGGATAGGAAATATGAGCGATATGCGAGGCCCGAGAGCTCGATTTCGCGCACACACTTTCGCTTATTCCGCGTGTTTAACTCTTTTTATTACGTTGTTTTATTAATGATAATAATTTACAAAAAAATGCTATTTGAAAAATATTATGAAATGTCCGAGTGTTAAGTTATATAATAGATTCTTTTACAAAGTGTTAACTTTAATAAAACATTTAATTACAAAAATATTAAATATTAAAGATTGAACTGAATGGAATAAGATTTCAAAAGTATCCTGTGACCCAAAAGCTATATAATTAATTTCTTTTTATCAATATAAGTAAATTTTAATAGAAAAATTTTATTTAAAATTTAATTATCAAAAATTTAAAAGCACTATAAACGTTAAACTATATACAAACAATGACCGTTTAATCGAGAGAGAAATCTAGTAGCCAGTAAAAATTAAACATCTCATATACACTGAGAAAAATGTTCTTATTATATATCAACAAGATGTACCAACAAGAATCGCTCCAAACGGTGCGTATTTTATCGAAACTTCGAAGTGCAAAGTGTGTCGATGATTCAGCGTTATGCCATAGGGGTGGCCCTTGATGTGCTCTTACTCATCGTTCGCATGCTGCTTCGCGACGCAGGATGTAGGAAGGGGTTGCGTCTCTCGCACACCGGTAACGCGATCAATAAGATAATTGAAGACTTTCTCGACGATGTACGATGTGACCAGCGGAAGGGAATAATTTCGCTATCTTGCCCATACTAGCGCAAGATCATTGTTTTCGAGACGACCCTCAGCTTTCGAAATTTTATTATTTGAATCGTGTAAACAAAAGATGCGTTATATCACAAAAGTGTATCATTTTAGTCTTTTGTCGAATGGAATTTTATTATTATCATGAATTACGTAAATAGAAATAAAACTTTTATCTAAAAATAGTATATTAATAAATAGTATATTAATTATAAATGAACTAAAATATTGCAAAAGGTAGGAATCAGTTACTGCGTGCAAAAAATTAATATTAGATACACAGTAAAAAAAAAAACAGATTATTTAATATTGAACCATTTCCCAATATTGTATTAAACCGCAAAAGGTTAACGAGTTATATCGAAAGTCGGGTCACTTTTCGAACGATCAGAATCGCGGAGGCGAGAAAAAAAAACGATCTCGGCAACAAGCCGCTGCGCATTCACAGCCGATCGACCAACCGTAAAAAGCCTGTCGCGGAGAGCAAAGTGCAATCGCGCAGCAACGAGGCTGATTGCACTTCCAAAAGCCGGGGCAAACAGATCTGTGGTTTATCTAATTTGTCTACGTGTGAGATGAAGTGTAATCAGAACAGCTGCGAGATTCACATGGCGGTTAAAAAAGGATTAACACGTATAAATAATATTGCGTTTGAAAAACGTTTTAACGTCCTTAACGCAAATACATCCTTTCTATCTGATAATACAAATAAATTACGATTTCTGATAAATTAAATAACATATAATATTACATATGACATTACAATGAAATTTAATATTATTTGCATAGACTTGTTAGCAAAATTATAAAATGAAATACTGCTTGGGTTTTGCTTGCAAAACTTTTTTTTATTAAAGAGATTATTGCTATCAATTTTCGAATTTGTACTTATATCTATATTTCGTGAAATTGTTAATCATTGTAAGATGATCTTATCACGAGACATGTGTCGTGACTCGGCGCAAAAAAAGGGCGCGCCGGACTGGACCTTATCAATAAGCAAATACATTGTTGTTTTAAATTATTAATAGTCACGTATTGTATTTGCAACCGCTAATAGCGCTCAAAGAATAATATTATTAAACAAGCAAGTATCGCGTCAAGGCTCGTTATCAATGTTTGAAAATATTTCATCTGTATCATGTGTTTAACTGCAGCGTGCCCAGAGATGCGTGGGTGAGAGAGAAGTGATGCATCGATCAAACTTCCTCTACAAATCGCTACACCAAACTGCATCAGCTGATGTAAACGAACTTTAAACGACATATCTGCTGGTAATTCCAATCAGCGGTTAAATTATTATCTTAATCGTTAGACGCTCAATAATATTGCAAAAACAAATTTTGAAAAAAAAATGGAAATTAAAATATATCGAGCTCTTTAAATCACATTCGAATTATCGTGAAGCGTGTCGAACGGAAGTAATTTATATTTTATACGTTTAATAACCGCACGTGATTTGATTCCTGCTACGTAAACAGGTAACGAGTGTCGTCAATTTCAGGTTTTGGACATAGCAATCGACAAATACATACAAGGTAAACACAAGGAGCGATATAATGAGTACGATGGTGTGTAACATGCTTATTCTGCCGCTTATGTGCACGTGTCCAGGCACATGGCTGCAGCCGGCTTCGAAACGAGAAGTGACCAGGTCATCCGGCGTTCCTGGCGATCGCGATTACGCACCCGACCGGTTCGAAACGCTTAACATTATCTTCCCATTGAACGGTTCTCACATACCACAACAATCGGAACGAATGGAGGGCGTTACCTGTTTCTCGTTTTTTTTTTCCGACTTAAGATTAGAGTAAAAATAAGAAAACTGAGAGAAATGGAAGATATCGGAAGATAATTTATTGAAATACCGAAATTTTGTAGATTGCAAGGTTTCCTCTACACGTATATTTTATAATAAAATCAGATACATTCTCAAATATTAATTTTATATAATTATTTTATATAATTCGACATTAAATGATTGTGCCTTATTCTGTAATAGAGTTATAACGGCCTGGATATATAATTATACTAATATAAATTTTTTTTTAATATTTCAAGAATCTTAAATTATCTTGAATACGTATGTATCTATTGGAAAATTTCGAGATTTGTAATTTTTGTTTTGCCGGAGCGAATATACATTCGAATGACTTTTAAACGATGTTAAACAACCGACAGGACAGAATTTAGATCCTAAAACGATATTGCTGAGCACAAGCCTGGTCACAAGCTGCGCAGGAGGTGCCGACTGACAGGGCGGCGACACCCGGCCCGGCGTGGCGCGGCGCAACGTCAGCCAACATAGGCCTCGCGGCTCCAGCACGAGGGTGGGCTTCCACGCTGATAAAACCGGCGATCGATAAGAAACCATGCGATAGCCGGCGCGCACTACGATACCGCCGAATCGCGGAAAAGCGGGGAAAATCCGCCATCCCCGACGAGAGTCGAAATATATCAATTTTTGTAAAAATGCGAGACACTCACCGCTTGGAATTGCTCCAACAGCTCCTGCCGATCGTCGATCGCGGTGGCCATATTGTCCGAATATATAATCCTTCCGCCTTTCCTTTCTCCGCTGCGGCTGCACCCGGTCACTGCTTCTCCGTCACTCTCTCACCGCTCTCACGCCCTTCGGTTCACTCTCTCTCTCTCTTCCTCTTTCGAACCGTCCGTCCTTCTCGGCCGGATGACTCGCGTATACGCGGTACACGTCGTGCGTGTCGTGACACAATGTGCGGCGCGCAACGTGCGACAACACTCAACGGTCAACAGAGACGATCAGGCGATTTTCTCACTCAATGTTTTTTGCGCGGACGCGAATGCGCGATACTCGATAGCCGACCGGAAACGACGGCTGCTCGGCTTTCGGTAAAAGCGTTTCTGGAATTCTACTGCAGTTAGTCTACCAATGTCAAACGCCAACGACAACATTCGACACGATCGGAGTCGCAGCTAGGACTGCGCGCGAGCCGCGAGGCGCGAACGTCGAGCGATACTCCAATACTCCAAACACCGCGCGCGCCAGCGGACCGATCGTTGCCGAGAACACACGAAGGTAACTGAAACGAAGCGCCCGCCGCTCGCTCGCTGCTCGACCCCCACACTGCCCCCGCCCGCGGCCCGCTCAGTCCGCGACCTCGCGGTGACTTTGAATGTATGTACGTACATACATATACGTGTCTGTGTTCTGTGCCTGTAGAGTATCCGTCTGCACGTGTATGCCTGCGAATGCCGAATTCCATTTAATAAATATATCTTAAGATCAATTATTGAATTATTACAAGATTTTTAACATATATAGATTATAGACTATTCGATCACTGTAGGACTGTATAGCTAACAATTAAACAATAAAACATTCGCTTCAATTAAATTGCGACTTGCAACTCATATCACTTAATTAATTCAGTTTAATTTATAAATTACAATTTCCTAGATGGCGCGGAATTTAAATCAGATTTAAACTATGTTATTTCTTGTATAAACATATTTTCCTAACAATTCTAACAAATGTTCATTATTGAAAAATGCTTATTTCACACTTTTAAATTGTAATTAAACATTTTGGAAGTAAAAATCATCTATTTATAAAGCCATGACATTTTCTAAAATCACAGACAATCGAATTCACGATATTGCGAACTTGTAGGCTGTCGCAAAACGAGACCATGCATGGTGATGACTCATTTTTCACATATGAAGTAGTAATGTACGTTGGGTCGAAAAAAATTTAGGTTGACTCATTCCTATCGTCGTTGAGGTCAGTCTATGTCCCGATCACGAATATCGAAACGCATCGCCACACTCATGTAAAACAGCTTGGTTCGTTTATACATTCGCATCATTTCTCTTTGTTTTACAGTTCTCGTTACAACGAAGGAATATTTGTGACGGTTTTTAAAAAATGAACTTAATTTTACTAGATCCTTATTGCATGCAAACTTTTTTCGCTAATACTATAATAATACATGTATAATTTAGAAGATTTTAAGAAATGAAAAATTTTTCATTTTACGATAATTAAAAGTACAATGACGAGAACAGTGAGATAAGACAACAAGGACAATATCGGATATTGAGAGCAAATGTAAAACAGTATCAAGAATCTAATCAAATAATATCAATAATATCATATAAACTCAAAAGTATAAAATACTATCGAGAATTAGATAACGGCTCCTTTGACGTCAAGTGATTTATTCATAGATACATTTACGATAATATATGCAACAAGAAGTAAATCGCCTTCTTTTTAAAAGACGCGCGGGGCTCCGCCTCAAATAAGATCCTATTGCGAAGTGATATATCTTTATCGCTACACATAAGTTAACCTTCGATCAGAAATTACAAAAATGTTTCACTTTATACAGTTCTTCGACGGCGAATAAATTACGCACTAGTTGAGATTTCAAAATAAATTACAGTACAAGTTCGAGAAAACATAAATTCACAGTAGAATATCAGAATATCATTCGTATTCACTTGGCGGAGAAAACCGCAGCTTTAATAATAATAATCTACATTAGAAAAAAAAGATGACGCTAAATACGAAAAATCATATCTTAATAATAAAAATTCTAATTCATGAAAATGTCTCTTCTCTCAAAAACTGTTCGCGAGTTACCTACTAAAAATATAATATTTACTATTTAGAAAATAATTTCGTTGTGTGTATGTATATGTACGTGTGTATGTGCGTATATCAAAGTAGAGTGTAATTACAAAAGTAGTAGCTGCGTAAAAATGTAACATTTACGTTGATTCAACGGACTAAATAATCACAATCAATTTACGCTAATTTAATACATTTACCACGACTATCTCAAATTACGCTGAGAACGATACTGCCGAGATGTTTACGCACAACGAGAAAGTCGACGCACGTAATAGATTAGTGTTAGAAACGCATGTAGGCACTTGCCTGTTAGGTATCTAACGATTGATTAAGAATCATAAATGATACACAAATATCTCTCATAATATAGTCAGTAGTCTAGTTAGAACACGTAAGACGTAATACCAAATTTTCGTCCTATATTTACCAGTAACGCATTGTTAATGCACGCTTAACAAAGATAAGTAACTGTTAGACACAAAATATTTTTATTTTAAGTATCTTGCGTCCCGTTTTTTTCTTTTTAAAAGAGATTGATTCATATTATTTTTCTTATTATAAAGGGAAGAAAAATAATAAGAACAAAAATATCGAAACATCAACGATTAATATTAGCGTTTTTGAAAATGCTATTAATAGAAATCCACTGCATTACTTGCGCCACGTCCAGCATCAATCGAAATTATCGACTATCGGATCTTATTGATCTATACAAAAATATATGTGTACATGCTCATCGATTCTTGGTTTCACAGCCTGTTTTAAATAAAACGTAGTATACTCATTGTCCATGTACAAGTGACTAGAATTTTTCAGTAGTTAGTATTTGTGTTACAATAAATTCTATTAATCGATTTTTTTGACATCATCTTTTTTATATTATAAACAATAGAATAATCGTCTGCGTTCATTAGCAAATGTTCATCAAACGTCAAGGTTTGTTCAACAAGTATATACAGCTATTTAAAACACACTGTGCTTTCGTTGATTTAGTCTTTTCGAATTTTTGTTACAGAAACTCAAGATTGTTTAAATTTGTATCAGTAATTATACAAAGTTCTTTCCCTCACAATCAGACTAATCCACTATTTACTCGCAATTTAGTCCAAGATAAAAGTTCTTCTTCTATACAAAACACTCTGCGTTCCGCGCACATTTCGCATTGGATGGACTTTTACGTAATGTCAAGTAATACAAATTTTTTAAATAATAGTTAAAGAGATTAGTATAAAGCGAATTTCAAATTTGTACCAGAATCACAATATTTATTCAAATAACCGATGTTAATTTGGATAAAAAATGTTCTACATATAGAATAACACTCTTGGTAAAGAGCCAACGCGACTCTTATCACAAAAATTAACGTTCTTTATAAAATGCTTCTCTAATAAATCTTGCAATCTAATAACATATAACGTATCTTGTTAATATTATTTGATTACATACTCTCTTTGAAACACAAACTAATAATCTTATCACATTATGTGACAATCTACTGTTGCACTTAATATGTGATGTAGCAATTTAACTTTGACAACGTAGAGAGATTTAATGGATAAGTCATAATTATTATTTATTTTTATGTAATATAGATAGCATAAAAAAATAAAATAGAAAAACTAATTATTGTCTATATAATATTATACTAATTATTAACTATAATTTAATTCGTGTAAATATTATTTGAAACATAATTATCATTTTTTGTCAATTTAAAAATCAAAAGGAACATAATATCTATATCTAATATATAGCTATTGTGGTTAGATTAAGAAAATGGGAAATACATTCCCTCTTCTAAAGAATAACAAACATAAAGAGAGAAAGTAGAATTACGAAGAAATGTAATAAACGCAAAACGCAATAGAATTGTATAGCCTCTGATGCAAAAACAGCGAATATTTACAGATTATTATTTCGGGAAGGCAGAGTAGATATGCTAATTTATCTGCTTGTCTCAATTGTTTCCTTTTATTTTATACAAACTATAGCTTATGTGTTTATTCTATGTTCTGATATATTCTAATAGCCTATGTATAATCTAATCGTAATACACACATCTCTCAGTCTATTCTGTACATATGATCGGCGCAAAGGAAAGAAATCCTCGCTTGTCGCTTTGTGCGCCTAACAAACGTTTTAAAAGCCGATAAAAACAATCGACCGATACCTCGCCGTGGTAATGCAACATTGTATTCCAGAAACAATCGGTTGCAAAAAATTAAATCATTGCTGTATCGAGAACATTCTCGCAGCGTATCATTCGTATCGTTCGGGTTAATCGGCTTGTAACGTATCCTCATTTCAGGGTAGTAATCTTAATAGTTAAGGTAACACGACGCATTATAGACCGTGTTGTTAAGATTGCTGCAAATGATGCAATCTCGTGGTCGCAGATCGTTAATTATCTCGCGTAGAAACTATTTCTTATCATCCATAGTGAAAGGCGCGTATACACAAGATTAAAAAAAAAAAAAAAAAAAAAATGGAAATAAAATTCTTCTCTACAGACAAATCGATTACAAAATTATAAAGGCGTACATCACGGTTCATCCGTGATTCGTCCGCTGTCGGTGTGAAATGAAATCGATAATTTTCGTAAAAAACAATCTAACGAAACATAGACATAGACGGAAATATAGATGAATACTTTCACAGTCGTGCGGATTAAGATAAAACGGACATCTTTATATTTTCGTATCATTGAATTTCAAGACGCGCACGCGCGCGCATTATATATATGTACGTTTGTGGAAGCACAAAAATAATTTTCTGACATGCATTGTGCAGCGTTCTTACGTTCACCCTACTTGTGAAAATTCCATAGATCGATGTATAAATGCAGATCGATGATTGACTAGCGATGCTTCTAGCATCTAAAAGTATGACCTTCGCAGATACAAATGAAAGCCACAGTTAATAAGAAATATTCACCATGTATCGCTGTATCGCAACTCAACTATGTTATAATACTTTGCATCTTAAGTTTGCTCGCTCGTAAACTACATTTGAACAATGCACGATCTGCAATAGTTTGGTGAGAAACAATCATTAACGTTAACGTTTGCATTGCGAGTCGATAGATCGAGAGTCGCTATCGTAAACGCCCCGGAGCCTCGTACGGAGCTAGCAGACGACACGAAGTGGGCTAGTGAATCCTAGGAGGAGGAATGTCGTTTTCCTAGACACCCGCTTCCGTGTCGGTGGTGCTGCCATGGTACTCCTGGGGCTGAGAAAGGGAAAGAAGTGCATCCAGGCCTAATGATTCAGCCGAATCTGGCGCGGATCTCGACTATAATATTTAACACAAAAAAAAGACCGCTTCTAAAACTACAGTCGAGTATATAACAAAAAACAATGCAAGAAAGAAAAGTGAATGAAATCTTGTCGAATTAAATTTCACGATGTGGGATGTTTACAAATTTTCGCTGACACATGCATATTTATAATACCTATAAAATAAAATGTAAAATGCGGCCGATAATATACACGATGATAATATACACAATCCGATAATGTACATAACTCGATTTGTGGATTTTTACAAAATTAAAAAAGAAGAACGGTATACATTATGTTTTTCCGAACACTTTTTTCCTTACCGATGCACTTTGATCGGCTTCTTTACAGTTGCTACAAATATAATCATCTTCCTCCGCAATTTCTGTGCGATCCAATCCAACACAATGCATATGGAACCAACCTTCGCAGCCACCGTCACACTGAACCCAATCAACTTCCTTACCTATATAACAAATAAAATAAATACGCGTGTTGAAATATAGATAAAATAAAAGTGTAATTTAAAAAATTATATGAGGGTATAATCAAAATACTCTCAAACCAAATCATATACACAAAAATAATTTATACAACATATTTGATACATATATACTATATGATCAAAAAATTTGTGTACACGATTATTGGTAATATGTTTATTACTGACATTATCCATTGCATATATCACGACATATAATTATTATATGTATATATATAGAGAACATTTATAACGCTTAGATGATATCATTAAAACCACGTTGCGAATGTATTGTAGACAATGTCCTTACCACTAGGCCGTAAGCAGTTAACCGCCGCGCAGTCGTCTTCTTCGTCCGAACTTTCTTGCTTGGTCTTCTTTGTGCGATTACCGCCTCGCTTCCTAGGGCCCTCTTCGCCCTCGCTCTTACGTTTCATCTGTAATTTATATTTAACTGAAATTGAGGTGTTCAATGTTCGCGAAGCTATGAATTATCGATTTTCATATAAGTTATTAAAGAGAATGTCCCGAATTTAAACTTGTAGCAAATAATCGATGTATCGTTCACAAAATAGATTTAGAATTAAATACTCTTATGTTACGAATACTTGAGATTATTCCGTGGAATGGTAATTCTACTAAGGAAATTTATTAATTTATTTCTGACAAAATTAATATTTGCATTAATATGAAAGATTTAATTCGAGACATGACCGTTATCGAAGAATCAAATACCTTTCGAGGTCCACGCTTCACAGGAATCGGTGAACTGCTCTGTCCCTTTTCCTTAGTGACAGGACCGCCACTTCTGCTACGTTTAACCACGTTTTTCTCTTCAGCTTTTTGCCGTCCGATTTTCTTAAGTAATTCAAATTCTTCCGATTTCCTCTTCCTACCCCGTTTCTTCACATCCTTCATCTCTTGATTGATATTCGCTTGGACCTCCTCGAGCGACTTGTATTTCCGCATGGTGTTATGAGTATTCATGTAGCTCAATATACGCCAGATGTGCTGTGTTTCGTCCAACGCGACTTCCAAGAGGTCACCTTCCATCATAAGTTCCTCCAAACGCGATCTCGTGCTTGAAGATAACGTGCCAAGTGACTCACCGTCGCTCGATTGAGTTTTCCGCCGAATTTTCGAGACTGAAATAATAATTATAAAATGCAATTATTTTCCGATTAAATATCTCAAATATAATTATCGCAAATTTCAAAACTTACTGTATGAATATGCGTGTTCATTACTATTGAAAGTACTACATGTTGGTTCGTCATCCAGGGCAACAACATCGTCATCGTCATCCTGAAATATTAAAAATATTTATTTATGTATATTTCGTTTTCGAATCGCTTATAAATAATAATCGTTTACAATTACAATAGATTTATTACAACTCATATCACACAATCGATACTCACAGCAGTACTAAGCGTGCTATCGTCCGAATGCACTCCGCTGAGAGGTGCGATAGCCTGCACTCTTTGATGCAGTTCAGGATTGTTCGCTGCCTTTTTCAACTCGCTGCTGATAATCTTTTCCGTTTTCTCCCTAGCCGCAGCTTCTACTAACTTTTGCGACATTACAGAAAGTTTCGCCAGTATCGAGGAGACCTCGTCGGTAGATAATGCTTTCCTCGCTCGATCCTAATTAGCATATGTTTAGCTAAAGATTGTTTACTTAGACGATATGAGAAGATATATTTGATGAGAATATTTACCTGCCAATTCATCGCGCGTTCCGTTAGGCACTGCAACGCTTCTCCTTCCGGCAATCGAATCGGAATTTTTTGAAGACTCACTAAGAGAGCCAATATAGTTTCGAGACGAGGTCGTCGAGAACGTAGACAGCACGGACACAAAAATTTCATATCTCTCGGCCCTGGTGGTTTACCTTTGTACGATGTCTTGGGCCAAGGCACACAGTTTGCTGTGAAATAAAAATACATATAATAATTAGATAATAATTAAATAAACACAATTATTTTTTCTTATCTAAATTGTTGTACTTACTGTGGAACCAATCCTTGCAAAGCTCGCATTGGAGCATAATACCGAATCTCGGCCGCCGACAAACGCAATACTTGGAATCTTCCGCTTCCGCTTTCATCTTCATTAAATTTCTCTCTCTCAAGCTTCTCATTGCCTCCATTTCGCGCTGTTCCGCAAGCTTGAAGGCAGCTACCACATTCGCCGAGCTGCTGGAGTCGTCCAATTTTGTATCACAGACACAAACGGCGCCTACAGATTCGTCGCCTTTGTTCTTTTTGGTTTTCATCGCCTGTACGCCGACGCCGATTCGCGGCGACAGAGCTTCCATCAACGTATAGTGCGAGTTTTTTCTCAAAAACGTTCTCGCAGTCCTCTCTTTCCAGGCTTTCGCCTGCGAGAGGGTAGATTCTATCGTCGGAAGATCATTTAGATGCAAAGGGATATTTCTTCCCTTTCTCAACAAATCGTCCAAGGTATCGTAATACGGAAAGTTCTCTCTCGCTCGTATATCGTCGATTAATTTCGTCCAATTCTTCGCTTTGTTCAACGTATCTTGAAGAGTATCCAAACTCGGCAAATACGCCTCAACTTCATCTGCCTCGCGAATAAACTCCTCCACAGCTGCGATGGTTCGTCTATTTTTGGTGCTAAGAAACATCTTGGCCTTCTCTTCCCACTTGTCAATCGCTTTCGTTAACGCGTGTAATTCTGATAATGTATTTTCGATACTGACATGAGGCGGTATCGTCATGCCTTTTTCAATTAACTTGGCCACCTCTTCGCGACTAACAGATTTCGGGTCGTCTTGGAGGGATTTTACTTCTTCCAGCCATTGCATTTGTGCCAATCTCTGAGAAAATGAAATGTCATCTCATTATAAACCAAATATCTAAAGCTTTAAAAAGAAAAATGTATATATATATATATCTACATGATTACATACTTGTTTCAATCGTACTAGTTGAGGTAATTCAATGCAGATAGAGTCACCAAAATCAATGCACTTGTCCAATTTCTCAATGTTACAATCTTCTTTAGACTCCAATTCCGCCGCATCCTTTTGAAATTGTAATACTTGATCGAGTATAAACTTTACACCATCTGATTCCTTAAGTTCACAGCACAGATTGGTTATTTCTTTGTAGAAAAGTGTTAATTCTTCCACAGTAAGTTTATACTTGGTATCAACTGTTTGCCTAGTCCTATACAAATGAGAATTGTGTAAAAGCAAATGAGATCGCAGGCGTCACAAATATAGAAAGAAATCTTACGCTTTACCAACCTTGTACGTTGCTTGTTGTTTAATAGCTGTTGCGCAACACTCGCGCATTTCTCGGCGTCTTGCACCGCGGTCGTTAAAGCCGTCAATAATTCGCTGTCGGGGAACTTTTTGCTCTCGGCTTCGTTCAGAAGTTCCTTCAGCTCGTTTAATTCAATCTTGTCATTTTTCGGATCCATCGCCTCTTTCACTTTGGCCACCCACGAGTCAAACGACTCGGCTTTCAATTTTAACTTTTGCAGCATGATCGGCAATTCGTCTAGTGTATACCGATAACGTAACGTATGCTTCTCTGGCGGACAGGTGCACAAATCAGCAAAGTGTCTTAGACAAACTAACTGCGAGCTGTGGCACGAACATGTGACCGCACTCAAAAAACAGGTAGTCTTGCATGCTTCGCACTGTCTCTCGTCATCTGGTAGAAGCTCGAAAGCCTCGCGTTCCGCCTCTGTCACACCCTGGCCACAACAGAACAAGTTATTCAGGTTCACAAATACCAGCAGAACCGCGAAATTAATCTCGTCATATCTTAGCGACTTTTCGCAATGAAACAAGTGACGCGCGCACAAATAACGCGCGTTTACGTGTATTACGAGGAGTAACACATTGATTTGAAAATCGTATTTCACCGACGTACACGTAGCACATCGCGGGGGGGGCAAACGTAACGCGTATGGCAAGATGCGGCGCGTTCACGCGATCAACGCGATACTCTGCTCCGAGAATTTGACGTACAATACGCACCTCCACCAGGCCGGGCTCTATGAAACAGTCGCGCGAGAAAACCAAGCTACGCGTTTAGCATCATGGCACAAGGTGCTTTGAAAACATAACCTTTCCACTCACCTATATGTACGTTACATAACTAAAGAATAAAGGCGCAACGAGTAAGCCAGTCGCGGCCAGTCAAGGCCGACAGCCACGACTACGAGGAGTATTTCGACCACACGAGAACGCACGCAACACTAACGACAACAGCGGTTTCGACGGAATCAGCAATGGTGAAAATACGTGGCGACATTAATTACGTATATAACGTGGACACAGACGGTCCTGCTTGTGCTCCAAATGGTTGGCGCGCCGCGAACCACGGGTGGCACGGGTGCGTATATATGTACGAATTTTGCCGCGCGGCCCGCGTGTGCGTATGTGTGTCCGTGCAGTCCGTGTGCGTGCGCGTGCGCGCGCCGCGCCGCGCCGCGCGCTGTTGGCACGTAATGTACTACTTGGCCTAAATATGTTGACCTTTCTCGTTTCACGGAGCAAAAGTACTACCAGTATTCACACGTTAGATCTTTTCCGTTGAAAACAAGATCGTATTCATTTTCACATCCCTCAGATTTTTTCTCTTCAGAGCGCGTGAATGCTGATTCTTTGCGCAGAAAATTACAAGTTTTATATATGTTGTATATTTAAGCCATACAATTGAATGCTATATTGACATTAAATACAGGATATGAAACATTTTCTCATTAAATCTTGAAATATATTTTACGTTCTGCGAGCATCAATGCGAGTAAATAATTGCATTAGTTTGGCAAGCAAAAGCAACAGTTAAAGAATAAAAAGATGGATTTATTGTAAAACAATTGATATCAAAAAGATATGAAATATTTAGAGATGGCAAGCAGTAGTTACATAGTAATTAATATCTTGTTAAATTCTCATTAAAAAAAACTGTGTCATAAAATACACGATCTGTAAATTTTCAGAAATGTAATATATTAAATATTAATATATAAACTTACCCATTCCAACAAGTTTTTCCGCAATTTTTTCTCATCCTCCACCATTTGCAACATGTCGTGATAAGTGGCGGTTGCGACTCCGATATCCAACGAATCTGGATCCAATGACATTTTACAAACTAGCTCGTCATGGGAAAACACACAGAATCTTCTTAAATTGGAATAATGCGTAATGCAGTCTCGTCCAATCTTAAGCTAATAAAAGAAAAACAATTGGTTTAGCATAACTTGTACAATATGCCCAATATTATATGGAAAGTATAATTTTAATATAATTGCTGAATGTTCTAACACAAGTGCAATCGCGTCTCTATCTTATTCATACTTAAACGAACTCGAATGTACCACAATTTACATACCCAATCTGCAGGTGCAAAGTTGACAGCCTCTGCAAAATTGTAACCCTGATTAAAACCTGCGTGGTACGCTCTTGGAAATGTCACGACAAATTCACCCGCGTGTTGATCTGTTCTAAAGACCGGTACTCCTGTTAACAATTACAAAATTATATAGATTATAAATTTAGAAAAAAATATCTTGCAGTTGCAAACTACATAAATGTCAAACACGATATGAATTAGGAATAAATCCTAAATATCCTGATTGTCTCTTTTTAAAGAAAAAACATTTTTACAAATTTATTTTGTATGATTTTAAGTACATACGGAAATCTCTTTAAGTTGTTGAAATTTTAATAAATGTGAATAATATATACGACATACCCTCACTTGTCAATATATTTGGGTTCATGATGGTAACAAGTTGATGCAGCAGATCGGGTTGGCTGTGAAACAGCTCCGGAGCGGCGGACTTCATAGAATGCTCGAAGCGTTCCGCCTGAGAACCCGGTACGCCATACCATGTCTTTGGTTCGCCCCAATGCAGATAATTAATGGAATAGCTCCAATGATCCTCATTATGCCAACAGAATGTCGCGAAGCACATGCCGACATACATCCAAGGAACTTTCATACCACTAATATCAGCATTAATGTGGCCGAGAATGCTTCCACGTAAAACGGGCAAATTATTTAAATTCCATGAAGATTCGGCATACTCTTGATCGCAAGTGAACAAATTAACGCTGGTCTTTGTCGGAAATCCGGAACCATGATCCATCGTATGCAAATCGGCGCCGTATTCGACGGTTACATCTTCGTCGATGGACGAGACTATTCGCCAAAATTCTTTTTCCACTAGTGACGTTGGAACCATCTACAGACAACAAAAATTTATTAAACATATAAAAAAGATAAAAAATTTTCATATTTGAGGAATATATCTATATAAAATTGAAATATATAATAAAAAGAAAAAATTTATATTTAAAAAAATTTTTTTTTTCATGATGACCAACAATTACTTACATGCACAGGCATATTAAAGTAGTCACTCTTGAATTGATCGGCCATTTCACCGAATTGCTGCAGCGTGTATTCCCTCTGCGCTTGTTCGAAACCGAATGCCTCCATCGGCTTCGAGACCTCTTCGGCGACGCACTTGGGACATCGCCAATCACCCTTTGGTATTTCTGTCAATGGCGGCATAAGGCAAAACGTGTGATAGCTGTCATCACAACCATCACACAACAGCATACTTTCTTCATTGTCGCCTCTCCCGCAATTGTGGCAAATATATTTTGCCAACTAAATGAAAAAAAAAAGACAATACAATTAAATTATCATATAGTTATTGAATTATATATTATTTCTCATTGTAAAGCGATATAACATAAAATAGAACATCAAATTATACTTACAGGATCAAAGTCATAAACGAGTTTCAAGCCACGCGTTTTGTTAGATTTCTTTGCCTCTTTGGTATTAAAGCCGGCCATTTTTGGGCCTGGTCCGTAAAATTGTAACTTCTTAAGTTCTTTGCTCTTATCCGTATCGCAACTGAAATATCTGCTTTTAATTTTTTCCTTGCACTCATTGTCCGAGTCGCATTCCTCCTTACAGTCTTCCTGTTTAATCGATACATCTTGTTTTTCTTCTTGCCCGGAAAATCGCTTAGATCGTCGTGAGAATTTTTCATTCGGCGGTTTAATTTGCTGTCGAGATATTATGCCATGTGGCTTATAATCGCGATCCCTCTTCTCATTCGCGTCCGAGTCTGGCTCAATTTTCTACATAAAACAAGACATTAATTAGTATTTAATCATAAAAAATAATCGCATAATTATTATTACTAGTTAATTTAAAATTTTAATTAAATTAAAAGTAATTAATTTCACAAAAATGTCGACTTGTCACAGTCAGTAAGTCTGCAATCTGTTGCAGACAAAAATTTGACTTACAATATCTGATAATGTCTTTCCTTGCTTGAAAACGTCAAAGGGATATAAAATTCTCTCATAGTGATTTTTCAATATACTGCCTACACTTCGTCCAGATGGGTAACCCAGTTTATTGGCAATTTTGGCCCATCTTCTTTCCTTAGTCACAGTTTCTATGCCGCCTATAAATAACGCATATAGAAATTAAAAAACCGTAAATATATAAAGTGAGCGATAAATAAAATATATAAATAAAACTTACCTTCGTCTGTGACTATTTTATGTAAGGAATACAAGTCCAGTGCTTTACGTTCTACAAGCGGAATTTTCAAGGAGGAACCTTGAAGTTCCCAGAACTTTGCAATTTGATCTAAAAAATTAAGCTTTATCCTGGTCTTGGCTTCTAATTCGTTTAACCTTTGTATTCTCGGAACAAATTTAAACTTGTCCACATCTACGGCAAATGGTGGCTGCCAATTCTGCAACAAATCATAATAATTGATACAATATCTATAAAAAAAGTTTGATTTAACAGGGTTTTATTTTGACACAAGGATAAAGGAAGAAAATATTCTCGCGTCTTTACCTTTCTTCTCATTTCTAAATATAAAGTTTAAGTTCTGAAAAGTATTCTGGATTTAAAGTCGACTAAATGGCCGTGCACGTACTTCACATCGACAACGGTTATTACTTATTCACGGAGCTGAAGATCCGGTATTACTTCGGGTCGTAACTAGAGGCGCAGCTAGTATACGTGGCCCTTACTTCGCTGTAACGTAACTAACGTGTAACGTTCGATAGCAACGATAAGAGGATAATTGAGTTTTTAACAAACTTTGCTTCCTTCGATACGTATCGTATACTACGTATATCGAGTTAAATTTGGAATTAAAATGTTAGCACGTAGATTTTATTTCGCGTTAATAGGATCTGTGTTGACAAACTCTATCCAACTATTTTATAACCTAAATATAACAAATATTTAATTATCTAGCGATCGCATTGATTGTTATTTATATTTTATCTATTGTAAAGATAAAAATCATATGACTCGATTAATGCAGCAAAATCTGTATTCCTTCTTTATAAGATATTTATATGTATGATTAATCAATATCATATAACGTATACCTGCGTATAATCGTGTCTCTAAATATATACATTTTCTATATATAAACCTATCCACATATAAATTACGTGATAACGAGTACGAGAATTACTTGATTTTAAAAACGCAAAAAGTACATCACACGTACGAATATCTTTTGCATGCGAAAATATATTAATAGCGTTAGAGTTCACGAACCTGAGGGACAGTTTTGTAAAGAAAAGTCGATTCAAAGCCGAAGAATTTACTATTAAAATCGAGAATCCGCTGCAACATGTTGTATGCGCGGTGATATTTTAATAAGCGACCAAGTATCGTTCGGATAGTTTAATTTTATTTAGCGCGACGTTGAAACGCTCGTAATCGTAAAGCCCGTTAATCAAGCTATATAGTTCCACGAGCATTCAACGCTCGTGCATAACGTTGCGCGCTTCCTACGATACAACTTCCGTAATGGCGGCATGTTCTCCGGGAAAATATCAGCTCTCTAGAAAGCTTAAAGGTATCTTCTCATCGAGTGCAGTACCTGGTCGTGTTCTTCTACCTTGTGCAATAACGGCCGGAGCACTGCAAGTTGGTCGGGCAAAAATTAAATAGAGCGCAGATCTTTGCATGGAAAATTCCCACGCGCTTATTTACGCGCGATGATGCACAGTAGAAAAAATCATTTTTCACTTGTCAATCCGGCAGAGAATGACGAATGCGATTCCGGACGAATTATATTCCGGAGCAAGTGAAATACAAGCAAATTATTCGGAAAACTAATTGGAGTTAATTGAGTTTTTTGAACGCTCCGCGTGACTTGAAGGTACATTTAATTGCGCAACGTGAAGAATTAAATACAAAATAAAATGTCTAACAGATCACACCATGTACATTAAACGAAGAAAAAAAATCCAAAAAAAAATTTTCCAACTTTAGATGTGACGCCACAAATAATATCTTTAATGATTCTCTCTGAAGGATTTATGGAAGGAATGAAGACTACTTTTGATAATTCAATTTGATCGAAAGCTTTGCTACAATTCTCTCGCACTTGGCGATCGTGCGCGCTTTGGAAATTTCGAAGCAAATCGAAGGTAAACTTGCCACGGTAGTTTACCTCGTTACTTTCAGACAGAGATCCGTGCTCGAAATGTCGAGAGTACATCGATTCCACGTATATGCGTCATTTCCTCTATGTACTTTACTCAGGCGACAAAACGAAACTACTTATCGGAATATTTCAAAACTCACTAAACGGATTACGGAAGCGGCAACGTTATTGCGAGGTGAAACAGGACTCGAAAAATTGTATTTTTTACCCAAATACACGATTAGTTTAATTTTAATTATTTGCTCGTTCAACCTTTATCAATATAGAGCGCTATTTATACTGATAATGATTACTCGAAAAGTAGCTGACACTGCGCACTAACATCTTGAACGAAATTCTCACATCACGTGTTACACTTATTCACGCACGTATATTAGAATCAATAAATAAAACAGCTCCGAATTTTCCTTCGATATCACACATTAAATGATTAGATAAAAACAATCGTATCGTGTCGTATTAAATTATGCAGTACTATTCGTAATCGTATCGGAATGAAAAAGCAAAAAGAAATAAACGACGTAGAGATAGCTTGTAAAATTTCTTTCAGAAAATAGAAACAGGGAGGGAGGGAGAGAGAGAGAGAGAGAGAGAGAGAGAAGGTAAGAGAAAGAGAATAAACAATCGGCCACAGCCGGAAGTAATTATTAGGCATCGATTAGCCGATGATGGTAAAAATCAATAATTACTTGAGAGTTTGCGGCGCCTTGACGCTTTTGACGGACAGGCCTTACACCTGCCGCCTGCAGGAGAGTACGACGCGAACGTAATCGCGAATTCGCGTTATCATTTCACCTTCGCGCAGCAATATTTTCCTCGAGAATTAGAGTCGCCATCCATACACGGTTGGTTATTAAAGATTACCATTAACTCGATGCGCCTGTCGCTAAAAACTCGCGACGTAAAGCGGAGCAGTCGGAAGTGAAATATCGAAATCTCGCAGAGTAGAAACTTGGTCAGAAGTGAATTGGAGAGTATACGTTTTAGGAAAGATGAAATTTTAACATTTTTTCAAGTCTATAACGGATGTCTACTGTATATGATCGATACACTTGTAGTGGTTAAACAATCGTTATTAAAATAAAACGTCTACAGATTTTTCTAGAAGAGACATTTTTCAGCCTCGAATATACATCGCAAAATCACGTCGAGCGTTTCCACGCAATCGACCTTGCGTCGATCACGCGAGCCAAAAAATATTATTTGCGGATACGTCCCGATATTTGCATCGCCCACGCTTGTAGGAAGAAAAGGCATAATTTCCGGCGTCACCGGAGTTTTTCCTCTTTACATGCGGAAACAAGATGGTGGCGCAAATCGTTTCTAATGGTGGCATAAAATGACGATGTGCGACCAACGAATCACGAGACCGTCCACTCGGGGAACGCGATGCTCAGGTGGGAAGATCGCGAAAGGTTTCGCGTTGGCAAATAGATCCGAAATACACCGGGAGAGCCCTGCTACGGTCGAGAGCTCGCCGAGTGAAAGGTGACGATAGCGCGGAAAAAAATTATGTCATGCGGCGAACTGCAACGCGCCCAGCGATGAGATTCCCTCGGCAGGAACACGCCCGCGATGGTGGACTCTGCGACTCTCTCGCGAGGTCCGGTAGATACATCCGAGGAGCGAATGAGAGATTTGTTGCATTCGAGAAGCGCACGTTTTTTGGTTGCAAATACGACGATAACGGGATCGCGCCGACGCGAAATCATTTTCCATCCTGTCGCTCGCGTAGAATCGCCAAGTGAATAACACAGGTCTCGCGATTATTATCTCTCTTTCTCCGATTTTCTCCCGTCCACGGAACGTTTTCCTAGAGGTGACCAACGACGTGGTCCTATTGTCTCGGCCATTTTACATGGCGTCGATCGTTATCGTAATTTAACCGAACCTGAATCCTCACTGATCTTTATTCAATTCGACGTGCTCGTATTGATGTGATTCTATTATTGTTCTGTTTTTATTAATACCGTTATTGTCATTAACGACAAGTATCATTCGCGAAAAGTATCCTTTACACCGCCGCGCGCCGTGACACGCATCGTTACGTCGAACGGAAAAAGAGAGTAAGGTTTCTTTTCATCTCACTTGGTTTGCGCCCCTAGCGTCTCGAATGTAGCGCGAATTCTTTTTCCCCAGTTTTCCTCGTCTTTCTCGCCGTTTTAGCCGATATCTTCCAACGAAACGCATGACACGCACGATTGTTACATTTCGCAGGCGTAAAAAAACATGGAGAGACTCCATGAAAAAAAAACGGCGTACGAATATATACGATTGGATGCGCGTGTCCGTGCGATGCGTGAGGAAGGTTCGTACCATTGGATCTTTGTGTCTTTTTCTTCTGTCTTGTTGTCGTCGTCATCGTCATCGTATCGTCGTCATCGACGAGACTCTACTTATCCTAAAAAAAACGCATCATCGTACATAAAAACGAGGTCGTGCATTCCTCGCATTCAAGGATGTGACTCTCGTGCCTCTTCCTTCGGGTTCCGTAAAAAAAGAAAATCCACGGGAGAGCGGAAGGATCTCCTCAATCGACGACGACGACGACGACGACGACGACGACAATGACAAGGAGGGCAATGTTGGAAGCGCGACGACGCGCGTAGAGAATAGGAGCCATGTGTCCGATCGTCCAACCGTCCGCTCGACGATCTGTGTTACTCACGGGTGGCGGTTTGATCTTGCAGATGCCGGATCTCTCGGCGATTGGCCGTATCTTGGCGATGTAGGCGAGAGGATCGTGAAACTCCTCGTTGGTCGGCTCGAACACCGGTGCTTCCGGCGGCACTGCAAACTCAAAGTCGGTCTCGGCGCGATCACAAGCCATATCTTGGGAGCAACGGTGATTCCCAAGGGAGCCGCGATTCTCGTTGTTTCTCGATCCCATGATGATTCGGAGATGATCACGGGGGCACGCCGTCTGCTACTTCCGACGCTATCTAGCCGCTGCAGGCTGGGTGGCACGCACGTACGCACGCACGTAATCACGCACGCACGCACGCACGCAGGCACTTTAAATTCGAGCAAAAGCCTCGGCGCTTCGGCGCTAGGCACCACCGAACGACGGTCGCTACTCGACCCGGATTAGTCGCGGAACCACCTTACCACGCGTTCCCGGATCGATCATGTTCCTGCGCGCGTATGGCGCGTACCCGCTGGAGTCGCCGAACGCTGCTGTTGCTGCTGCTGCTGCTGCTGACGCTACGTGACAATAAGCGACGCGCAACGGACGCGAATCACGCGGAGCAGCATCGACGTTGCACGAAGCTCCGCACACGACCCACGGCGACTGATTACCTCCTCTCCCGCGGCCCGCCGCAGCCGCTCCGTGTTACGCTCGCCCCTCCCTCCCCCCTGCTCCCCTTCTCCACCTGTCTATCGTACTTGAGCAACGCGGCGGCTCGAGTAGCTCGACGACTGCGCCATCGGCGGACGAGCGACAAGATTCCTCCCGTCCATTCCGTCTGCCTTGTGGCTGCTGCCGCCCGTCACTGCCGTCGACAGCACCGTCAGCCGTGGCCAGCCGTGGGCCGTGGCTCAGGTCGCAGTGACCGCCATTTTGCCACGCAAGGCCTGTTCTTTGTCGCACCCGCTGCACTGCACTAAAATCTTCTCTCTCGCTTTTACCAAACATGAAATATATATGTCTATCTCATTTCAAGCACAAGTATACCACACAGCAGTGGGTGAGCTGCAAAGAACAGACCTGCAATCTCGCGCAGCGTCACGTGACAATCGAGGCTCGACGGTCTTGCGCGCGCGCCGCGCGGGGTGGACGACGCGCATGAGAAAGATTTGTGATGTGTTATTTTTCGCTAGCGACTCCGATTACGTAATATGTCGCACGAAAGCTGCGCGTTTGCGGAGAATGTCGACGAGATGCCTCGCGTTAGGTGATGAACGATTCACGCATGCGCAGCGTTGATTTGTCGGTGATGGCGACAGAGAGAGAGAGAGACGCGAATATGATTCTCGATCGTCAACCATCAACTACAAACGCGACGAAAATGCATCCTCGTTACGCTGCAGGGCAGGTCACTTTCACTCCACGACGAGTACCGTATACGTACGTCTTCTTTGTACTCGCAAAATGGGTAATATTTGACGTGACGAAGAAACAACGTTTATTTATGAAATAGCAACTAAAATTTTTTCTCGAAATCGCAATAAACTTCAATCGATATTAGCTATTACTTATATAATGAACCTTGCTTAAATTCGCATTGATCACTTGTTGGAATTGTTAAATGCGATTGGTCAATTATCTCTTTGTCCAATTTCTAGCTGCAATGGGACGGCACTCTAAGTAAGGTTCGAATCTTCGCTAAGTGGGGTTTGAGTCTCCGCTAAGTGGAGTTCGATGCGCGCGCGCTATAAGTGCAGCGGGAGAATAAATTCAATAAATCTTCGCTAAAATGTGGTTCGAGTCTCTGCTAAGTAAAGTTCAAGTTGGTTCGAATCTTCGCTAAGTGGGGTTTGAGTCTCCGCTAAGTGGGGATTGTGCGCACGCGCTATAAGTGCAGCGGGAAAAAATGTGTTGGATTCGAGTTGGTTCGAGTCTCCGCTAAGTGGGGTTTGAGCCTGATGCTCCTCTGAAATATAAAATTTGAATTTAGTGGAGACTCGAATTCCACTTAGCGAAGACTCGAACCAACTCGGACTTTACTTAGCGGAGACTCGAACCCAACTTAGCAGAGACTCGGACCACATTTTAACTATTGAATTTATTCTCCCGCTGCACTTATAGCGCGCGCGCATTCAAATCCCACTTAGCGGAGACTCAAATCCCACTTAGCGAAGATTCGAATCTCACTTAGGGTGTCGTGTCGTCCCATGGCAGATTGATTGGTTATACGCAATATACGCGTCACGTGAAAAATCTCTGCCATGGGACGACGGTGACGACACCCTGAGGAGCACTCGGATAGGAATCTGAATACATCTTTGGACACGTAGTACTCTCTCTAACCACCAGATGGCACACTTTACGAAAGTCTATGGAAAATCAGGAGAATCGATTGTAAAAATATCACGACACTTTTCTTACGTGTGCGGTGTGCTGTGAGTATAGAAAATTACATAATTATTTCATATTCTCCGACTTTGTTTTGTATTTTATTGAAACTTTTGAAATTTAAGTTTGGAATATTGAGAAACGTTTTCAAACAACTTCGTTTATATGAGATACGATAATATGAGATTGGTTATGTTCTGTTGAATATGTCGTAACAACTACGTATTTTGCAGACTTTAGCCATGGGGAAGCAATTTGGAAATCTTGCTAAAATCAATGGCGTCGTCTTCTTTCGACTCAGTCCGTACGAGCAGAAAGCTTTCAAAGGAATAATATCCGAAGGTGTACCAAACACCATTCGCCGCATCCAAGGCAGCATATTTCGCGTTACTCCTTGTAAGCATAATTAGTAATTATATACATATATATATATATATAATATATATATATATATATATATAAAATAAAGACATTTATTTCATAATTTAACATTTTAATGGATAATTCTTGTTGCAGTTTTCATATTTTCTTATTTGCTCGTGAATTGGGCGAAAGAGGAGAACCATGCCCTTTCTCGCAAAAATCCCAAGGACTATGAAAATGATACGTGAATATAGGTGATTAAATTTCTAGTTAACACTTAGTTTTTATTGTGAAATACTACGTAATCTTATCTTTAATTCTAAAGATAAGAGTAAAAGAAACAATATTATATAAAAATTAATACATGTATTTGGAAATTTTTTGAATTTCCTTATCAACTTATTGCTTTCCTCTTTTGAAGGATATGTAAACGTATGAAAGATAATGCGAATCATAAAATATTTTATTTAATACATTAAACTAATTAAACAAAATATTTTTAAGCCTTATACATATAAACAATACATATTATATAAGAATGTAAAAGTACATTCTATATACAGTGAATTTAATTGTTTACAAGGCTTATAAATATTCTTTTTTCAATTAAAATTCATATAAAAATATTTATATGAAGTCTATAACATAACCAACTAGACAAATAGTCAAATGTGAACAGTTATACAAGATTAACAAAATCTGTTACAATTTATTTAGATTCAAATTCGTTGAATTAGTTTTTCATATTTACTTAATTTTTGAATCTATAAATTTTAAATTGAAACAATTTCCCTTTTTACATTGATGCTTAACTAAGCATCTATAAACTCTCTTTTGTACTAAATTTATAAATGCCATTTCTCTCCAAAGTAATGATAACCTGTTCTCCCATTGTGTGCCATTTCAGAATTTTTGTTATTGATTAAAACAATTGGAAGATTTGTCGTTACGATATTATATATGCGCATTGTTAAATTGACCATCACTTGGTCAATTAAACTGCAGTATTCTCAACAGGTATTTTTTCCATCTTCTCTCTCAATAAGTTACATTCTTTATAGTTTCCCTTTGCAACAGTCGGTTCTATTGGTCTTCGAATTTCTTCGTCTCTCTCATGGTGCATATACGGTGCAACTTCATTCACTCTACCTACATAATGATTAACGTAAATATCGATATATCTGTTATTCCGACTAAATTCACAGTTTTAATTATTCGTGTTATTTCATTTTCGTTAAAAATAAAAGTTGAAAAGATAAAAACATGTTTGCAAAAATTATGGAAAAGTACGAATTGGCCGCGATGAAATTCGACGTCGTGGTATTTGACGTACGATCCTGAAGCATCGTGGCGAAGATTGCCGATTCGAACGGGCCCGATCGCCATTTCGGTCTCATGGCGTTCGACCAATGGCACGTCGCGTTACCCTGCGGCGAAGTGTGGCGCACCTGAGACAGGTAACGACGGTGTGAGCCGCGAGGTGCGACGACGGTAGTCGGTACGTCGAATGTGGATTACGATAGAATTAGTCGCCGGAGTATTCGCGGTCGAGCATGTTCGGGACGTAGCTCCGCTGCTCGTTTCTCTGTCGCCTCGGGATCGAGCTTCCCTCTCCCCCCGGCTCTCAGCCTGTTCCGTCACCGTCTCTTGGTGTGCGTGCGCGTGCAGTGCATTGTGAAAAATTTGTAAATAAGGTAAGCGATCCCGTTTGTCGCGCGCTCTCGCTTGTACAACTACGAGGCTACGAGAGACTGTTTCGTGCTCTCGTCCTCTCCTCTCCTCTCCTCTCCTCTTCTCGACTGACGCAAATCTCGCGTCGAGATGTCGAAAGGAACATGATACTCCGGAAATTGTACGAAGGAGCGCGAGGCGGAGGCCGTTGTAATGCTCGAAGCCGCACCGTTGCAACGTCGCGACTCGCGCCGAGGCCGAGGCGAATCGTTTGGTGTCTGGTCGCGCACACCTGTTGCCACCGTCCTCCGTAGCGTGCATGGCCGCGTTTTGCGCCTGACCTGGCCTGGCCTGCGACCGACGAGGGCGACGAGAGGAGACGCACGCAGACGCACGGCAGATAAAAAATCGTGCTGACGAAAGGCACGCGCGCGCGCGCGCGCGCGCGACCGCGACCGCGACCGCATACGCGCTGGATCAACCTGGACGCGCCGCACTCGCTGGCGTTGCATTTTAACTTCGAATCACGTCATCGACGTGAAATTCGTAATAGTCGCGAGTACTACGCAATAGGAGAAGTGTATATTTAAACAAAATCCAAGTAGGGGACAAAGTTGAATTTTATTCGCTCGGATCGCAGCTTACAAATGACTTGAATCCGTATCGCGTCATCGACACAAAATTTGGAGTATCGTAAAAAGAGATGTACGATCGAAACCGAGTGAAGGACATAAAATTAACGCTTTCTGTACGCTGACGTTCCGTTTTAACTCCGCATCCATTGATGCGAAATTTGTAGCACGAGACTTTCATACAACCGGAGATGTGCAAATATTCCGAGTCGAAAGAAAAAAAGAATAGAATCTTTCGATATTTTGTTTGCTAGTATGGCGCGTTTTAAAAACTTGCGAATCTGACGCAAAGTTATATTAAGTGAAGCTGAAAAGGACGAGAGGATTCGTTACCTTAAACCGCGTTTTATATCGAAATTATAAATTGAAATTTTAATTTCAAAGAGAAGAAATTTAGATTACGAATGTATAGGGTTGTACAAATACTTAAAACTGAAGATGACAACAAAGCTAATTTGATTTACCTTGATACTGTATGAATCATAAATGTGAATCATATACGTCTTGTTTTACATATAACTTAAGTACTCGAAGATAGGTAATATCTCTCTTCATTGTCCTAACGCTTCGGAAAATAACTCGATTATTTAATATTTTTATACATTAAAGATCACCTGTGACAGGTAAATTCTATCCGAATAGTAAATAGTGTATACGAATAATCGGATTCGATTACCGATTTCCGGCGACATTAAAACTATAGGAATTTCAGGACTGGCGAACTACGCGAGGCGCAATTAATTAATTGATAATCGAAAAATGCTATTAAAAGACTGAATTTCTCATTGGACGATACGGGGTCTTGATTGTCGGATAATTCATTGTATCTAGATCACGTCTTGATTTCTCTAGAGTCTCTATCGTGCTTCTTGACTAAAATATTAAATAAAACATGCATGCATTTATATAATCAGCTAAAATCATTTTTATATATAAATTTATATATAAAATTATTTATTAGTTTTTGTTACCTATAGAAGCTTGATTATAATTGACAACCAAAATAACTATATTATCTCAATTACACTTTCATAAGTAGTAGTTTTTATTAAATGTACATATGAAATTTCTGCGAAAATTGTACTACTTTACTGGGAAAATACTCTCCATATCATCTTAAAATTGTAAAAATTATTTTTTTGTATACGCACGCACGTATACGCACAGGAACAATAATGACACACGCTATCTATATCGGGCGCGCGCGACATTGATCACTGTATATAACCATTGTGATTTCGATTCGCTAATTCTTATCGGGCTTTCATTATCGTAATCTGATGATTCACCAACCTTTGATCATCCTCATTTTAGTCTATCTACCAATTGTAAAACGCGCAATCTCCATTCCCTTATCCGCGATCTATAAGCTTTTAATTAAATTCAAATTGCAGTTTCACTCGTAACTCTATGTATCTATTATCTATGTATAAATAATGGTTATATACAAGTAATATATACATAGAATATAACTTGATTATACAGCTATAATTTAATTCTATGTTATTCAAAATTAAACTTGGAATGTAAAAATAAATTACGGCAATCATATACGGTGAATATCGATCCCATGAAGACAAGTTGCATATAATTACACGTTCGAACATCCTTCCTGTTCTTTATAGAATAGTCTTTTTTTTTGTCTCTTTACATTTTTTCAAATATAACATATAAATCGTGTCAAGTATTCCTCTTGAGAGATGACGTCATCGCGTTTGTTAAGACTAAGAAGCGATAGTTGGACGTACAGCATCTCGTAAAGAAGGATCGGTAGTCTCGGAGTATCCGTAGCTCGGAGCCACACGAGAAATCGTAATGTCGGCGCCTTTTCATTGAGCAGGTATAAGTGCACGACGGACGTGTGTCTCGTAAGGCGAGAAGAGCAATAAACATCTCCGCAAGTTCCCCGTTAGGTCTCGGCTCCCCGCCCGTGACATTTACGAGCTGCATTCCTGTCGCGGCACGACTGTATTGTTCGTCTTTAATCGGCGTAATGGCGCGCATAATCGTTGTCGAGTCCTTTCTCGCAAAATTCTTATCTCGAATATGCGAAAACATTCGAGTACGTCATATTATTGCGGAGGTCGCGTGCATGCGTTATTTACATTCGATCGAACATGCGCATCGTCGTCTCGTCGTCGTCGACATCAGGCAAAAATCTTTAAACAATCGACGTGGATAAATTTCAATCTCTGCACCGCGCCAGGAGAAAATACACCGGCCGGCGTACTGCGATCCGATCGAACTTATCCAAGTCGTCGTCTTTAGCATCCCACTGTCGAACGACACCTGTAATTCACACCTACGAAATGCCTACGTGATCTCCCACGTGAGCCCAATGATGTCGTGACACGGATCATGAATGCTTATTATTGACTACACATGGATAGATTCTCGTCCTTTCGAGTACCGTCAATGCAGAATTTATTCTCGAAACACGACACTTGTGTGTGTTAAATAATGAATTTAGATAAATATTCCGAGGAACTCTCATTTAATTATCCTAAATCGATATTGCTGATAAATTGAGAATATTCTAATGCAATATTTGAATATTCCCTTTGATGAAAGCAAATAAAAGTTTACAATAAAAGTTAGTAATTTTATTCGTGCTTTAGAATTGCATTTTTTTAAATATTTTAACAGAAAATTTAGAGAATGACCAAAGTATTCTAATTTTATTTATACTAATTTAATTAAATGTATCAAATGTAATGCAAAGTAGTTTCGAAACATATTTTTGTCTTGATTTCGTGTGTTGTTTGTCTGTAATATCGTCCTGATTTCTCAGTCTAGCGTACGTGTGGAAAATGTAGTTTCACGTAGCAGTAGTTTGTTGACCTCCTAGTACATCTGTGATTCCGTGACATACATTGCGAATATTTATCGACTTCGTATCCATTAGTGTAATTTTTTATATATTACCTGTCTGGATATCGAGAAATCTTACAACTTTTTAGTTCTCTATAAGCTTTATTTTTATAATTTTTATTATAATTTATTTTAATTATAATTAGTGTATTTTTTTCTCTTTGCAAATTGATTATTTCAATACGTTTCATATTATATAACTCATTTAGGACACATTACATAAGTCACGTAGCAAATATATCTTTCTCACTGGGCAGCTTTGGCAAATCGTTTTGCTATGCGCGGAAATTAATTAACGTTGATTTTCATTTTTATTACACCTGTCAGAGCAACGTAAAAAATAAGTACATATCTACTTATTTTCTAACTAACGTCTAGTTGAGTCAAATCAATTGTTTGCTGAAAACTTCCAAGTATGCATGCATTCCTCGCGAAATTGTAAACGTAAAGCTTTTACGTTTCTGCAGACGTAACGTTGCAAGAAAGAGAGAGGGAGGGGGTAGGAAGAAAGGTACAAGTGCAAGTTATGTTTGCCATTGTGAAAAATTGCTTTAAATGCAATTTTATAATTTTGTTGGCCTCCTTTTCCGCCTGCGGGCTTCGCTATCTCGAAAATGTTGTTACATGCACTCGCCATACGGGCGTTGCATTCCATGTGAGCGTTTTTTCGAATGATTGTTTACGTTTGTGAACGAATCCTTTTCACATTAATGCGATAACCCTCGCGATTGCACATACTACATACGTGCATCACTTAAATATGCCGCTACGTCCGAGCGAAAAGTAATTTTCTATCGTCTGCGAATTCTGACACCTTTGACAAATTGATTTCGAAATGCATTTGTGCGATTATAGAGTGTATATGTGAAAATCAATATTAAACACAAATAGGTGTACCTATGTGTACACAGGTATATACTTTTATTATATATTACCTATAGTAAATTCTTGCTAATTGATCAACTCACGTGAGATAAATTAACATTATAAAGCTAGTGTTCTTTATAATTATAACTTTATAACAAAATATTTGATATTATTATTTCTTGAATAAAATTATTATGAAAGGCCATATAGATAGAACTGTGCGCGAGATCTATACTACAAGTTTATTAAACTCCAGCTTGCACCTTTAAACGCGATGAAAATTGGCGTAAAGAATACAATTAAAATTAATATTCTTTCTCTCTATATATAATTATATTGAGTGATCTCGAATCAACGGGATTAAACGTACCATGCTATACAAATTAGATACGTTCGACAAACAGATGATCGAGCGTAAGAATGGAATTGATCCTTAACGATTAATCAGTCGATATAGGCGAACCGAGCAGTCGAGTGAAAAGTTTAAATTCGCGCCGCGCACGATTCGGTCCATTCACTGCAAAACTCGTTTGCAACAAGACGCGAACAGATCGCCGTAGGTATGCGAGGTGCATTGGTAACTTTCTTTCTACTTTTTCATCACTCATATAGGCGGTCACGTCCGCAATGTATTTACTTTCAACGTGTCTTAC